ATGGCGATTCCCGAATCCCCAACCCCTCTCCCCAACCCCTCTCCCCACCGGCCGCCATGCGTCCATGAAGTCGCGTGGCCGTGCGGACACGTGCACGGGGTCGCGAACTCGGCCTCGCTTGTCCGCCGCCGAGGGGGATTCGTAGTGCAATGCAGAAGGTACTTGATGCGTGAAGAGGTGTCATCGGTAACTCGGTGAGGTACTATATCGTAAACGATGAATTCCTCGTGATCGTCCACCATGATAGGTGGAGGGCGCTCATAAGGACGTCCGACGAAGTGCTCGGACGGTCTGCGATAAGAACACAACAAGGAGACGTGGTAAACATCGTGTACGCCAGCCTGTGGAAGGTAATGAGGAAGCTTCACACAGAAGCGGACTGGGCTAGCGACAGTATTAAAACCTACGACTTGAAGGATGCGTTATGGACAAAAAAAGTAATGCCTGAACTTGCGAAATGTATCTGCTTCGAGCTACAAGTGGCGTGCGTCGACGAGCAGATCGTCACCGACTTTGAATGGATGATCCATTCGTGATCAGTTTGCTTGTGCGGTCATGCGCGTCTAAGAGTTGGCTAGACTCTCGTGTGCACGCTTTATTATCGCAGCCATGTGGGCAATCCAGTCCTCAAGCGAAGGACAACGAGTGTTTAGACGCAACCGTGACAGTCATAAGAAGTCTGTGGGTATGAGAGGGTGGTAGTCGAGGTCGCAATAGAATGGCGACATCCCTTTGGCAGGCGAAACAACATAGTTGTACACAATCTCTGTGTGGGCTAAGTGTAAGTCTCACTGCAGGTTGCCCCTAATAAATTTTTGGAGAATACTACCGAAAGTTTTATTGGTGACCTCAGTCCGACCATCCGTTTGAGGGTGGTAACTTGTAAGACGATGAAAAACGAAGTTGGGATTCGTACACCTCGTGTACGCGTCGCCAAAATGTGCTAGCAAAGCGAGGGCCACAGTCAAAGATGATGCTCTCTGATAAACTGTGATCTCTCACGAATCGGTCGAAGAAGATGTTGATGGTCTCACAAACACTAATGCGATAGCGATACGAGACAAAGCGTGCACGCTTTGTGAAGCAATCAACGATGACCAAGATAGTATCATGACCTCGCTCAATGGGTGGAAGATGGGGACCAATGAAATCCATCGAGATGGACTGCCAACGACCCTCAGGTATGGGTAAGGGCCAGAGTAGTAACCCATACGGAAGGTGGTTCACACTCTTTACCTCCTCGCAGGTAGGACACTCCTCGATGTAAGCTTTGACGAAGTCCTTGGACTTCGGGCAGATGTATAGGCGGCACACACGAACCAACGTCTTGTGGAAGCCCATATGACTGACAATTGCCTGGTCATGAAACTCTGCTACAACCTGGACGAGGAGTTGTCGGGTGGAGGGAACGTAGATATGTGGTTCTAGCTGACCAAAACTGCCATGCCCGTACACGAGGCCGTTCTCACCGAGTGAGTATAAGGGGACAATTTTGCCACTCCGCAGTGTCGCGTGGATGAGGCAATAATCCGGGGAGTGGTGGTACTGAGTGCAAGACAGCGGACCAAGGCATCGATGACACGGTTCGTTTCACCCTTGATGGGTTTAGTGCTGAAACTAGACTCAGATAAATCACGCCACCAGCGTGCCTGGTGAGAGGAAAGTTTGGGTTTCGTGACGAAAGTGTGGACAACTGAGTTGTCCGTGCACATCGTGAAAGGAGCCCCATGCAGATAATGACGCCAATACCGGGTAGCATAAACTACCGTGAGAATCTCACGTCCATCCATACTGTAGTTTATCACGACAGGCAGTAGTTGACGGGAGTAGAAAGCGATCGGACAATCCGCAATACAAGCCTCAACAGTCCCATCCTCCATGATGGTCGGGGAGTAAGTAACGGTAGGACTGTCAGTGGAGGGAAGTGGTGGGAGGATAGGCGTTAGTCGAGACGCACTGCCAATAGGAAGAGGGGGGAAGGAGGAATATGGGGATAAGGTGAATCAGGAGGAGAGAGAAACACTTGAGAAAGTATAACTCCTACTGCAAAATCTAACGCATCGGTCGTGACGATGAAGAGATGGTCAAAATTGAGGAGGTGAAAAACTGACCCACAAGTCATCGTCTTCTGAAGGGCGTGAAAGGCGTCCTCGCAGAAGGGTGTCCAAAACCACGACGGCTTCATCACGAGGAGAG